AACGTTTAATGATATTTTTCCGTTTGCTTTTTGCGATTTTTACCATATAAAGTGAATTACTTGTAAAATAAAATGCGCAATACCGTTTTCAAAGAAATTTGAAAAAAACCATGCTAGTTTTTACCATACCCGTCGGCAAAAAAAAATCATTAAAAATAAACGCGTTTTTTTAGCCGTTAAAATTGCACATGTTTTACCAGGACTACATAACCAACCTAACTGCATTCCCAGAATTTTTCTGAAAAATCAAACTAAAAAGTTAAAAATGTTTATGAAAACTTGTTGAATTTTTCTAATTTCTGTACAAAGTTTGCCTTATGTGGTTTTGGTTAAAGCATAAATCATATCTAAATTCATATATGTATAAAAAAATAACAAAAAAATTTAAACTTGAAAAACATTGCAAATATTAAACAAAAATCACCATGCACTCACTTTTGATCGCCAGTGTATGTATGTACATATGTATGTAGGCTAGTCATATTACTTGGTGTGGTGGGCCGTGACTGCAACGTATACATGCATATATATATATCCATTCGTATATACCTATCTACGTGCATACTACGGGTATATGTAAGTACATTTATATACAAGTACATATATGTACATATGTACATATCTACATTATTCTTCACCGCCGACGTCACAAGATCGAGCACAGCTGTTTCCAGTATAAATTTTATTGCAAAACCAACAAACAGCAAAAAAATATTTTCTTAACGGCTAACATATATATGTAAGTGTGTGTTCGTACATACATCGCTGTGGATATTTGACAAAACAACTTAAGTCTATCTTTCGCGGACAAAAAAATAGCATCGTATGTCGGCAAAGCTCTTTTTACCGTCAGAGCAATCAATTTTATTTAAATTGAAACATGCAGTTGTTGCAATCAGAAACATTTTAAAAGTTGTGAATAGCGATAAAATAATTTAACAATTCTTACGAATTTCAACATTTTTCTCTTTGACGGTAAAATATGTTTTGTTGACATATGCTATTTTGTATGTCCGTAAAAGACAGACTTAAGTTGTTTTGTCAAATGGCCTGTTGGTTATTTTTCGTTACTAGTAAAGAATTGTTTAATTCTCACATTGCTAACTTTTGTTTCCATGGAAGTCAGAGCAATGCACTGCTAATTGTTGAGATTCACTTTCGATTCATTGAATCTTAAGTGTTGTATATTTATTAGTGTCCGACCGAAGGTTCGCCCTGGCTTCAGTATTTGGCTGGTTTTTGATGTGTAAACTTGACAGCGTGATTGTTATTGTTAATTCTATACATTAATTTGTTTAAAACCTGATTAAAAGCAAACTGCAAAAAAACGTTCGGAAATGCATCATAAAAACTTTTTTTTCGAACTGCAAAAAAGAACGTCCAGCCTTGTGCATGCGTTTCCTTTTTGTAGCACTGCGCCTAAAAATATGCACTAAGGAAAAAAATGTACATACCTTGATTTCGTAACACTTGCTATCCTAATGATAATGAAGACTCTTTTGATGAACAAATTGTGATATCGGATCCTAGTAACCTCTGAGAATCCCATTATAAATCTGCAAACGATTTTCCACGAAAAGCGAAAACTAAAACTACTTTTGAAGTTGAAATAAACGAATGTTAATTTAGATGAACCACTTGTTCTTCAGAGTGTCAATATATTCCATTGTTGGCATGCACCCATTTTTTTTTTAATCTAAAAATCTGCGAAAAAGTGTTTAGAGCGCAATTATTTATCACAGCTGGTCCGTTGTACACTGATAAACGAACAGATCTCTAAGGAGAAAATGCAGACAAGCTTATTTTTTTGGCATATGTATAACATAAAGCTTTTTAATCTTGAGTAGTGATTTTATGAAAGTTATTCAAGGCTTTAAAATGCTTTTAACATTAAGACTGCAATTTTTAGCCTCTTTTGTTTTTGTTTTAAACTATGTACATATGTATGTTTTTAAGGTATTCCTTTCATATAAAAAATAATAAAAATAATTGGTTACGAAATAAAAAATAACAGACTTATTTTTTTCGAAATGTAAAAATTAATTTTAATGTTCGGCTTCGGCATCGGTGTACGACCGAATATTGAATAGTACCTAATATTCGGCTTCGGCTTCAGCCAAAATTCCAGCTTCGGTCGGACACTAATATTTATACATGCATCCACTCATTCTCTAAGCGAAGGCACTTCAAAAGCTTCACAACTTTAGAACACATATGTATGTATGTAAATATGCACACATGCACAGATATAAAATGTATGCATGGGAGTGTGGTTTTAAAAATTTTGCAATACAATAGTTCAGAAGCAAATAAATAACTCAATTAGGCCCACATCCTGTAGTCATTCGAGGAATTTTTTTTTTTTGATTTTATTACACCATTTTACGTATACATATTTAGTATGAGATGTGAGTCTATAAAAAATCGCCGCTTCAGATCTTCAATTCGACTGCCAAGAAATACGACTATGTCCGAGCGTTTGTTTATGCAGTTAGTAGTCTTTAGTCGTAAATTAAGTGCTTGATTTATGCTTAGCAATTCTTCTGGTTAAATTACTTTTAGATATCTTCTCACTTCCATTTGCCATTAGATAGCTTTTGCAAATTTCTTATTGATTACAATCGGATGTTTTCTCAAAGCGTTAAATTACAACCAATTAATTAAGTAAAAATGTGTGTACATCGACACACACACTCTTATCTACATATTAGCCAAGTTTTGAATTGTTCAATTTCCTTTGATCAATCAGCATATACATACATACATAGGTACATATGTATATACACACATACATATCTATTTACGTTGGAGTATTTGCTTCCCAGCCGATCAAGCTAAATAAATAGTTTACAGCGGAAAACTACAAATTTTCTGATCCGTCGTCCGTTTGGTAAACATAACTCGATTTGTTGCTTTTTGATCTGGTGGCTTACGAATATTTTAGAAAATTCTTTATCTTTTGCTATTTTGAGAGTTTTATCCTCAAACACAAATAACTAAGAAAAACAAACCCAATTGTTTAAAAAAAAATTAAGCATGGCAAGTTCACTCAAAATGTTTTCGTGCTAACCTACATATGTATGTATATATTTATGTACATATGTAGCCAGCCAACGGTTAATAAAGTGTTAACGTCTACAGCCCATTTAAATTTCGCGTCATTTCGCAGGTATTTATACAGTGATGTGCAAAATCGAAGCAATCTTTCCTACTGGAAAGTGAGTGCTAGCATTTGGTTTTTCACGCTTAGGTTATAAAATGGACCTTGATCTTAGACAAAAAACTAATCAAAAAAAATTTAAATTAAGGCAAATGTTACATTTTTTAGCTGAAACCAAATACATATGTAGATAAGGAACTCACAGGACGCCTTTAGCGACGTAATGTCTTAAAGTCATGTAATATTTCACCGTAAAATAACGACTAAAGTGTTTTAAGGGGATTCATAACTACACCAACATGTTCTTAAAATTTACTTAAAGTTGTTGTTATCAAATCCCTCGAAAATTTTATATGTACCTACAGTATGTACGATTTTATATGTACAGTGTGTACTGAATAGGTGACAAGATGCCATAGAAATGTTTTGTAGGAAAAGTTTAGACTGACTTTTGGATCACAAACTCGTAATTTTTTTTTTTTACGAAAATTATATTCTATTTAAGTTTGTATACATAAATTTAATGCTAATAATATCTAATAATAATAAGCTTACAACAAGAACTTAGCTCCAATTTATGTACATATGTATTTATGTATATGATTGAAAGCGTGCAGGGCAATCATTATGACTAAAATAATTTAAATCAGCGTTTATCATTATTTTATGACTTTTATATATTTTACTAAAGATAATAATTATTATTGAATTTTATTTTTTTGCTCAACGGAAATAATTATTACTTTATTTTTATTTTTTTCGATCACAAATAATGATTATTTTGTGATTTTTATTTTTTCGCTCAGAGATAATATATATTTTTGAGTTTTATTTTACAACTTAAGAAAAACGATTATCTACAAAATTTAAAATTAATTTAAAGACACAACCAACTGAAATTTCGACCTGAAAATTTTCAGACTTACTCCTTGTATTAGGGTGTCGCTACCTCTGCAAAAGAATACGTCGGAAATCAGTTTTTTGAAGGATCATTATTCTTAAGTGAAAAAATAAAACTCAATAATAATTATTATTTTTAATTACAATAAAAATCACAGTATGTAATAATAATATTTTTTTTTTTTAGCGAAAAAATAAAACTCTAGTATTAATTATTATTTTTAATAATTTATTGGTTAAACTGGTTCCATCCCTGAAAGCATGTTAATGTCAGAAAATGCAGTGCCAAGCAACTGTAGTGTTCCAAGTCGCAACTATTTGTGTTGTCAAGTTCAAATAAACGCCTAACTGTTGCACATTTTTCTTCTATTTACAAAGATTTGTTGGTGGCATTAATCGTAGTAGAAAAAATATTTTTATTTGAACGTACAAAATCAAATGGGGTTGAGGCGTAAGGGTCACTCTTCACTTTGTTCTTTCTGCGCATGCGCAAGTTTGAAGGTCCTGAAAAGGACGCATTGTCAAGGAAAGCCGTAAAGGAGCCACAGCAGGTGAATACGTAAATTGAATACGAATTTCCATGAATTACGGAATATCAATGCAACAAGAAAAAAACACATTTTACGTATGTGTTGCACATACATATGTATGTATGTATGAATTTTAGTTTCACCCCATACGTATAATATATTCGTATATATTTATGTAATTGCATGGGTGTGAGTACCAGTACATACATACAAATATTACTTAGAAAAACTTGTACAATTCTTAAACTTTTAATATCGGCACATTTTTTACAACTTACCAAACTCCAGTAGGATAACAACTTCGCCTTCTGCACAAAACCATCTGGTACTAGTCTCCGGCTCAACGAGGTTTCCAATTTGTAGCTGCGTTGTATCTCAAATTTATTATAATACAGACCATAAGCAAATTGGCCCAAAGCAAACAGATGTATAATGGTGACGAACACGCGTGATTTATAAAGTTCAACCTTCGTCATTTTGCAAACAAATTTTGGCGAATTTTCTACGGAAAAATTGAAGCGGATTTGCACAGTTACATATTATACATACATATGTACGTATGTATGTATATGTATCTCTTATACACTTCAGGTTTTGATGATGGTCCCGTTTGTTAAGGTACTCGTAAAACACTTACATATGTACATATATAAGAACATACATACATACACACACTTTTACTTAGTATTTATTGTATTTTTTACAATTAATTATTTCAGTGGCACTACCGGAGCTTGTTTACACACGCGCGATTGGAGATTCTTTAAAATCTGCGAAAGAATTGCGTCTGCATTTTATAGAAATCACATTCACTTATATTTATGCATTTGTATATGTGCTTATGTATGCATGGAGGTACATATGTATTTGTGACAAATGGAAAGTGAAAATTTATTGTATCCGAAATTGCACCAAATCACATAAAAAACATTAATCTGCATTTTCACTCAATGAAACTCACTTCCACAACAACAATGGAGGTTTATCCGCATACTCGTTGGATTTAATGATGATTTTGCATACACACAAATAGCTATACGTATATGTACGTATTCCTGAATATACATACATATGTACATATTACAGTGACTAGCGGAAAAGTTCATTCAATCATAGAGAGAAAACCCGGAAGAGCGGAATGAAACTTGCGTACTCAATTCTCTAAACGAAGTGAAGGACTAGTTTTATTGTTAAACCTACACAGGTGAGTACTAACACAGCGTAGGATTCATGTTCAATCAATCACAAATCAAGTTTTTTCTAACAGCAATCGCCCTCGACAGGTAATGGTAAACCTCGGGAGTGTATTTCTGCATTGAAAAAGCCATTTGCCATCCGGAGACGCCGTAAAATTGTACAATACCAATTGGAGCAGAAGCTCGGCCAAAGACTTGGGTGAAAGGGTTACCCCAAATATTTTTTAAATAGAACAAAATTAATAAAATATCTTTTTCGTTTGCTTTTAAATGAAATTTTACTTACATTAACAAGAAAGGAAACTGCCTTGATCGAACTCTGGACATACTATCCGCTCTACTACACTATTCTATGTGGCAACATGAGGAAATTTTTACAAGAAATTGAGAAGATATGTGGATATACGCTTTTACAAATAAAAAAATAAAACATTCACCTTAAAGTAATACTCTCTTAACAATTCTAAAAGTAATTTTTTTTTGAAAACAAGAGTTTTTTCTCATAAATGAAATTCCTATGAATATAAGTTGATGAATTAGCTTAGTCTAGAACTAAACTAGAACTAAACTAAACTGTTCTACCTATTTTAAATTAATAAACTCAAGTGCTTTTCGCTGGTCAATTTGAATGATCACTGTTTTTAGATATACAAACATACAAATGTTATTCCTTTATACATTGTATGTGCTCATTCTACTTGAATGTAATGCGAATATTTATCAACAAAAATTTCTAGGGATGTGAAAAACGCCACTGCCTGCCGCACAGACTTAAAAAACAACAAAACAAAACGCATACCATTGCAAAAAATAGGTCATTGACGCAATAAATATCCGCCAAAAATTGACTTCATTTTACGTGGAAAACAGATAAATAAAGTTTACCCATACATACATACATACATACATACATACATATGTATACACATACACATATAAATACATATCGTCATTATCAATGCTAAAAGTCATGTTTGAGATATTTTCGGAAATTACTTTTTTAATACTCCTTAAGTTGTCTATCATACACACTCCCATACACCAGGTTTCAAATTCAAACTTATACAATGGCACATTACCAATTTCAGTCTCATATCTGAATAGCTAATTTATTTTGCTTGAATAAAGTCAAAGACCTTCGTCGATGAGATTGAAATAAGAAAAGAACATTGAAGCGATATCAAATCAATTTAATGTTCAATTGTTGAAGAACTCAATATCTCAAAAGATATATTTCGAATTGTCACAGGCTTCCCTAAGGACACTAGGCATTTGGTTAAACGATTTCTGTCGGTTCTCTGCCTCGGCTAGAGAGTGACCTAAGCTTGATGTAGCCTCAGCATGAGTGGCATTCACTCTCCGCACAGTGCACATCTGATATTAATAAATGTAATGACTAGACTACAGTGCGTATGAGTGCTGTCCCTAAGCCAAAAAATTAGACACTGTCATGCATACTTAAGTGTAGACTCTCTCACGCTCCTAAAAAATATCTAAGCAAAATTTGTTCTTCTTCTCCAAGCGAATTATAAGATTTAGCCAAGTTTTATAAGTGCCAACAAAAAAATTCAATTTAGTTATAGTCTTCTGCGAGAGCTGCACCGCGTTGAAAATACTTTTGAAAATCGCGTATTTCATGAAAAAATTTATATCGTAAAATGTGGTTTGTAATTCCCGTATGACACTACGCTTTTAAAATAGTTTTTATTGAGCCATAAGAAAGAAGCAGTTTTTTTTCTTATTCGCTTGTGATATACCTGCACCACTTTTTCGTGAGTCACCTTAATGTATACATGTATGCATACATATGTATATAATATCAAGACCTATGGCCAATTTTGGTATGCTAGTGTCTTTAAATACCGATTAGAACTCAGAGCTATGTAGTAGACATTCTTAACAAATAAATAAGCTATTACACGACGAATTGTCCTTAAAAAATTCTTATAACATTCGGTATAATTGTACCGTCATTGTTCATAGGCATTGTCGGCCCTCTCTTGAACCATTTTGAAATCCATACTGCAAAAAACACAAATCGATGGCCAATGCAGTTTTTTTCCAATATAATCAACGTTCAGCTCACGAGCTTTTAAGCAGAACAACCTACTTAGTTAGGTTGAACACAACTAATATTTTGAAACATATGTCTGTACATTAGGGTGGTCCAAAAATCCATGTGCAAAAAGTAAAGTCGGCATTTTTATGCTCTTGCCCCCTAGAACTGTTCTATGTATATCGAAAAAATATACCCATATTTTTTATTTTGAAATCAAAAATATTTAGATGTCGCTTAAAGTTTTCCATGTTTTTTATGTATATAGGGGAAAAAAACACTTTTTGTTGGAATGGTATAGAATTCTTGAAAATCAATATTTTTTTATTTCTGTTTCTCATCAGGAGATTCACATTAATAATACCCAATTATTTATTTGAGGTGTGCCTCAGGGTTGTATTATTGGTCCTGTGTTCTTTGTTTTACTTATAAACGACATTGGTGCCTGTTTTAGTTATTTTAAATTTCTACTTTATGCGGACGGCCTGAAACATTTTATTATGAGGTTAACCGCTCGTCGGATGCTTATGCGACTTAAATAAGCTAACTGAAAGGAGCATTAGAAATAAACTGCCTATGAATGTTAATAAATGTTTACAAATGACCTTGTCAAATCATTAAATCGAAACGCCTTCAAATTGCTCAACCTCATGCGTTGCTCTTGACTCCTGGATCTAGGAGTGCTCTTGGATTCGGCATCTACCTTACCCTAAGTCGCATTCCCACTTGTCTTTTATGAGACGCTATGCTTAAGATTTCAATCTATGCCCTAAGAATTGAAAGAGGGCAGAGGAACTTCATTCTGGTTGCTCTGCAACCGCTTCCTTTTAATGAGCCCGTTTCGTCTCCCTTAAGTCCCTTGCTATTAGAAAGGTCATCTATTCCCTTATGTTCTTGTATTGTGATATCAGCGGTCACCTTGATTCTTCTTTAGTCCAAGCTTCAACAATCCTTATAGAACGTCATCCACCGTTTCATATTAAAGTTGTTAAATCTAACTATTATAATTGCGTCCCCGTTATAATATCTTGAATAAACTTGATTTCGATTTGGCGATGCCCAGATCATTGTGTGGGTCCAGCAACTTATCTCCTAATTTTTTTATTTTTTATTTTAGTTTCTAGTCTGTATTTTGTAACCGTCGACTTGAATAAATGATGTTTGTAATTTGATAAAGTCTGCCTGCTTTATAAATATTTTCAAACAATAAGTATTATGACGTGTTCTTGCTTTCATACGAATTCAAAGATTTAAAGGTAAACCTGCGGATGTCCCTAACATTAGTATACAGATAGTAATCTGCTCACGGGGCGAGAATTTTAATGTGTGTATCTGTGATTTTTTCAAATTTTTTCCTCGCCCCTTCTCGATATATTTGGAAAACTATACAATCGACTTGTATTTGTTTTTGTGCTATAAAGTTTTTAAAAATTCATCAATTAAGCTCAAATTTCATATTTATTTATTATTTATGTTTATGCATCAACCCTAAAAATTTGAAACAAATCAAACACGTGAAGTGTGAACCCCGTCCGTTTTGGTATGGAACGCCCCACATACATATTTACATTTATCGACGGCACTTTGGCAAAACCTCGTATCTCAGAACTAACTACTACTTTGCATCTCGTAAAATTATTTTAAAAAGTAGGCCTTACAATACTACGGTTCATTATATATTATTCTTAATTAGCTAAAAAGTGCTTGCTATTTAATATTCAGTAAAAAAAGTGATTAAAAATGATTTTCTGTTATTAATAGAGAGTATTTTGGGAGAATGTTGTTTGACAGTGTTTTGAGATACGAGGTTTTGCCAAGGCACCGTCGTTACATGTTTGCATGTATGTATGTATGTATGTATGTACTTAAATGCACATACGAGTGTGTATTCAACAAAAGCCGGGTCCAATGCGGTTTACTATAGGCTATAGTCATATTTGTAGCCATCGTTATTGTAGCGCTTAAATGTTGCAAGAATAAACTGTTAAAGCAAAAATTCCAATAAATAAATTCTACGCACAACAAATAAACAAAAAGGAGCAACCGTTCACATTGCAGTTGGTTCGAAGCAAAAGTAAAAACTCAATAGCGTTTAGGGCACTGCAGCGGAGGCTTGCGGACGAGGATGGTTCTAGCAAGCAGTAGTTCTGTTCGTCGAACAAAAAAATTGTAAGAATTATCATGATTCTTGTTCAAATTGCGATCGTGCAGACAAAAAAATTATGCATCACTTATAAATTAAGAGCGCAAAGTGATAGTTCTCTTGGAGAGAATAATATTGTTGTGGTATTTATATGTTTGCATTTTTTCTCGAAGATAATCTGAAAAAACCAGTTCGTTAAATTTAAAAATATACAAACTTGAACGATTTTCCAATGAAAATTGTAAGTAAATGCTTGTTTACTTAATTAACTTAGTTAATTCCAATGATTTTAAAAGTACTCGTCTGAAAAAAATTTATTCGTAATCGGAACCAGAGTCGATTAAGCAAACACGATTAATTACTACGGCAAAGAAATTTAAACCTATGTTAAAGAACGTCAGAATAACAAGAAATGTACATGTGCATAAATTCTCTCTCTCGTCCATCTGATATGATTGAAATGCAACCGTGGACACCAGCTGGCAAAGAAACTTGCAGATTCCTTGCACAAATTTGCGATCTTGCAGAAATTTGCAAGTTTCTCTACTTGAGAGAGAATTTTTTCTTACTCTCTGATTTTTTGAGTGAGGGATAAGTCTTTGTGGATTTTTTACAAACAAACCTAATGACACATCAAGAAATGGGTGCAAACAAAGCTGTGCTGAATTATTTTACAACCTTTAAGGCACCGCACAGTGGTTCGGATCGCAAATCTAGCTGGACGAAACTATTTAAACAAATACTCGTTGATGGATCTTTACACCACTTCTTACCTAGGGGATTTTTGAGTCGCTGATTACGAATCTGAAGTCACTTATCAAAAATTCAAAATGGCGGATCCAATATGGCGGATATGTAACTGGGTATCTGGGGATTTTCTGGGTTGCTGATTACGAATCTAAAGTCATTTACTAAATTTATTTTATTTACTTCGGAACGAGCATTTTCATCAGATATTTCTTTCAATTTACTAATCACATAATCACGGACACCTTGTTGTCTTTTAGAAGTTTCAGCAACACCAAATGTCAAACAACTCACTTCTTAAGATTTTATTTACCATGAATAAAATTTAAGATCTCAGCAAGAAACACAAATAAATTTCCGAAAAAATTTTATAACAGCGCTTAAAGATTTGCATGCCTGTTGTATAATTTTTTAATTTCAGAAAGCAGAAAATTCGCGAGGTACTATTTTTTTAACTCTTACATAACCAAAGGTTTTATAACTCCAAGTATTTTTCTGTTTTGCGTTATGACCCCTGAATCTATAGCGGAATAAGTGTAATTTTTTGTTTATAAAGTCAATTTGCAATTATGCAAATATTTGTGAGTGCAATTAGCTGTCTTTTAAGTTAAATTTCAGCTTTTAAAATAGAGTTCTCAAATAGGCGGCGTTACCTTACTTTTTTTTTTGTTTGTTTTCATATGTTAATGCTTTAATAAATGCAATTTCTATTTGAATGTATTGTCAGGAATGTATTCCAAGTACCATTAGGTATTTTAAAAACAAAAAAATTTTGACTTTCGTCCAGCTAGAACTGCTATCCGAACCACTGTGCACCGCCTCGGGCGAACCGGAGAACGGTAGCGACAGCGTAGAGAATATCATACAAACTGGCAATCGAACTGCGATCAGTTGGGCGGAACAAATTAGCGGTTGGCGCTGAGAGGCTACTGGTTTTTAGGCGGGCTGGGGCGCACGAAGTAAATATTAACTCATTGAAGCGTGGCTCGTGAATGGCTTAATTTTCCACTGAAAATAATCATATTACATATGTGTGGATGTATGTATGTACATGCGATGAAGAAATAAAGTAAACTATGTACATGCACATCTGATATTGAGCGAAATTTGTTACAAAGAAAAAATATTAGGGGTATTCTCGGAGTCGTGCAAAGCCCTTGCATGGTGCTCGGATTGCACGGTTTGCAGAGCTGTCCCATAGGAAAACCGGCTTTTACCGTGCAATCCGTGCACTGTGCAAGGGCTTTGCAAGACTCCGAGAATACCCCTATTGTGTGCCGAAATGCATTGAGTTGCATCTATGATAAATAATGTCGGGCTGTAGCCCCAGTCATTATGTAGCAGCCCGTTGGTCCTTTAGTTGCCATAAATATAGCTGGGTCTTTACAAAAGAAAGACTTTTAGGGCTGTTCTGAGTATGAATGTTAATAAATCGCGATTTATTAATGCATAGCGGAAAACAAAATAGGACCTACACGTATATTTAATTCTTCTTATACTGACTTTCTTCAACATATGCTTGGAATTAATTAAATTAATTGAATAAATAAATATTTACATACTTCTTTCATTAGTAAATCGCCACAAGATTGTTCATTTTTAAATTTAACGAACTGTTGATTCAAAAATGCAACCGTGTACCACAATCCTGCTTGCAAATTCTTGCTGGCAAACATTTTCCCAGCACGAATTTGCAACTTCCCCTCCAAATCAAATGTCAAAATTGTGCTCTCTCCTTGCAACTTTGGTATAACGACGTATCGAAGGGCTAGCTAATTCGTAGGACTTATTTCCAATATTTGTTTCTTCAAAACTATATTCTCCAACTAGAAAACTACTGTTATACCTGTTTTTGTATTAATTGCGTTACAGCAGTTATATTTTCGGATCTGATTTTTTAGTTGTGCCTCTTTTGAAGAACATTGGTTCAAATGACTCGCACACGGCTAGATACATATTTGTCTTTCTTATTTACAATAGGGGTATTCATCTAGCGTAACAAACGTCACGTAATATGAATACACCTAATGTAACATGTGAAATTTTGCGAACCTGATGCATTGTAATAATAATTTTATTTTGGAGCTGTAAATGTTTTATTATGAATCTAGTTTAAATATACGCAGAAGCCCAACATCCTACAAAAATTACGTCGGAGAACACATTCTACCAAAACTTCGTATGACATATTAATTACACAGAATATACACTAAACTAAAATTTATACCAGTTTTAATACACATGTACACACACCAAGCCAGAATGAATATCTAAAATCTATGTGAAACAAAATCAACTTTGTGACAGTTTCACATACATAGTATAAAATCAATATTAGACCTCGAAAAAAATATTTATTAATCCAAAACATATCCGAAACTCCCAACACAGCAGCAAGTAAAGCAACACAACCGTCTCCTTCTTCCCCTAAACATCTTTACCCACTCGAAAAGGGAAGCACGCAATACTGTATGTATGTACATACATTAGGGTACCCATCGAAAATGTTTTTTTTTTTTTTGAAATTTCAAGACCCTATCCCCTAATTTTATTCGCATTTATGAGAAATATTATTGCCTATTTTTATAGATTTTTTAAAGTTTATTTACAGGTCGCGACCTATCGATTTAGGCCAGAAAATACGATTTTGTAGATTTATGAGTTTTTGAATGACAAGTGGATATATAGACTTTTAAAAAGGTATATAATAATATATTTTCGGACTTGGCTTGTTGGGATTTTTTATCGGATAAATTAAAAAAAAAACATATTTCTCTTAATTTTTTAAATTTTGACCATCGATAATTTCCACAATTTCAAAAATATGTAGTAATATCTAAAATTAAATCTACTTCTAAATAAACTGAACGTATTTATTGCAATTGCATCTTTTTTTTTTAATTAAGAGAAATATTTTTTTGTTTTATACCCGATAAAAAATCCCCACAAGCCAAGTCCGAAAATAGATTATTTGATACCATTTTAAAGGCCTATATATCCTCTTCTCAGATCATATTCTATCTTTGAAATCGAATCAAAGATAGTCATTCATAAACTCATAAATCTACAAAATCGTATTTTCTGACCTAAATCTACAGGTCGCGACCTCTAAATGACGTTTAAAAAATCTATAAAAATAGGCAATAATATTTTTCATAAAAACAAATAAATTTCCAAAAAAAAAAATATTTTCATTGGGCCCCTAATGTACATATGCATGTATGTACATAAGTAGCACAGTTTCAGGAGGTAAGGCAAACAAAAACAAACACACACACACAGATACACACCCATGAAGCGCATGCGACATAGCACACCTTCGCCGGTGACACTACGTCAAGAGTCATACAAAGCCCCTCCGCTTCACCTCCGCACTGCGCTGACCGCCAATTCGCGTCGCTAATAGTGCATTAAGCGCTTCGGATAGTTTTTACCACGTTAAATGTGGGACCCAAAATAGGTTTTCAGTTTGACCTGCAAAGCGTCACTCGTCGACTATTTTTATGCAACGCCACTAACCAACGGTTGCGTATTACTCGTACTCGTAATCGCTCGCACACAGTTTCTTCTTTTGGTATTAGTTATTATATTTTCTATCTACTAACGTTAACTATCGTTGAGTTGACGGCGCGCTCAACTGTAACGTCCACTCGAATCTGATTCTGGCAATCAACTGACAACTATGGCGATGGCGCACATCGAAGCTGAAATTGCTCAGGGTTCGTGCGAACGGGCATTTGGAAATGGCTTTGTGGAGGTGCACACCAGCAACATCAAAGCCAGCTAGTGGCAACCAAGACCAGCCGAAGCCAAAATATATATTCATTTCCATCGGCGGTGAGTAAATGTTTGATGTTGTTATGGAAGCACAGTGGGCTACTAACAATCAACGTGCTGCAAAAACACCTCAACGCAAGTCTTCGCGAAAGCATTGAGGGCATTGTTCAATGAAAATTTTGGGAGTGAAAATAAGGTCCGGGAAAGAAACCATCGTCAGAGTTATGTATGTCGAAAATGGTCAAAAAATGGTCATAAAATGTTGGAGTAGGATAATTTACACGAGTATAAGCAACTGCGAATGACTTCTTCAGTATTGATTATCTGCAATTAAATTTCAGTATTGATTGTGTGCTTCATTTGTCTTACAGTGGTATACCGATTAGATAGTTTCGACTATAATTTTTTTTCACAAATTCGTTTTTACACACTGTGCCTCAGCATTGCGGGCACTCGCCAATGTCTATCCGCAATTTTAAGGAATTTGCCATTGTCGCTACTACTCAACTATCCGGGCGGCATTCATCTGCGTGTTGCGTGTAGTGCGCATGCCCACTACCGTTGCCGCTGCTGCTGTTGCCTTAACGATGTCGACGTGAGGAACGCATTCCTGCTGATGCGGATGAAAGTGTAGTTTGGACAAAGGGAAATGCTATAAGTGTAGCATAAACATATCGTATAATAGCCACAACAGCTGGAATTTTTGTAATACCATATTTTATGTTTATGAGATTTGTTCTACTTTGATTTTTTTTTGTTCATTGTGGCCCTCTCTTCTATTTGCATTGAGTGTAAGTATGTACGAGTACCTACAAATGTATATACATATAAGTACAATAAGTGCAAAAAATTTTGTTTGTACAATATTTTATAAAACCGCCGACTTTGTTTATTTACACACTGTGGAACACTTAAATTCGCAAATTAAAATAAACAAAGACCAAACCATAATAACAAAACCTATGCACAGAGTGTAACATAAAAGGGAAAAGTGAAATGGATTTTTTTTAACAAAAAAAAAAATTATGAGTCTCTAGAAGTAAGCGGAGTTCCCGGGTAATAATGCGTACTTATTAAATGATAAAGAAAATTTGCATAGAATTCAAGATTTTTAGAGAAAAATTTAATCGTATCAGGATCTTTTATTTCATACCGAAACCAAAAGTTTTCAATTAGCCCTGCGTTTGTGTGCCGAGAAATGGGGATCAGACTTAGATATCCCCTTGTGCATGCACAGGCAACAATTTTTTTTTTTTGCACTTTGCGGTTTGTGGCTGAGTTTATGCACTCATACTGCCAGGGTGATTACGATTTGACAGATTATTCCTCTTAATTGGTTACGTATTGCCTCTTACGTATTTCTGCAATTTTTAACTGATGTGCTTTTCAGACAACAATTTACATATTTATATGTGTATGCACATATGTATATACCCTGCAGAAAATTTGACTAGCTTAGAGCTAGCGTAGAACTAGACCTTTTGCCGACAGTACTAGTTTTAGCTCAATACCCAAGCAATGCTTTCAACTGTCCAGATTTACACGGCGCTGTCATTAGCGGCGGCAATTGTCGCCCATTGCATTACGTCGCAACTAGTTTTTAACCGGTTCCGTTTTGGACGTTTTTTTTATAAGAAAACGTTTTTATGATTCGATTTTTGGATATTTTTTTCCTTTTTTTTCTGTTACAGATTCCATTTTTGTTTTTTATTTTATTTAAACAAGTAATTTTTAGCAAAAAAAAAACCGACTTAAAAATATATATATATATCTATATATATTTCATGATCCAATGATCGGATCTAAACCAGTATGTGACCACCGCTGAGACACTACCTTTCCGATGCAAAATGGATTTTCGAAATCGGTTGACGTAGTCCAAAGTTACGCGGTAACATACATAAAAAAAATATAAATAAATATTCCTCCCTTTTTGGAAGTCGGTTTGAACTCGCGACCACCGATGCTTGAGTCGGGGGTCTTCTGGCTGAGCTACTTTCGTATTGTACGAGTATAGAGCATTTGCACATTTACACCGCAAGTTTCAATTGTCCCTCTCTGCATCCGTTTTGCAGTTAGTTCAGAGATAGTTCCGACATACATATGTACGTAGTTCGGAACTAGCGCTTTGTCAGACTGTCCCTAAATTTTGCTGCAGGTATCTACTAACCGTTTATCTGCTTAAAATGAGTGCAGTATTTCCGTCATTTACATATGTTTGTTTTGTTGTTCTGATTTAAATACTCTTCTCGATTATCATTCTTGCTTATCAGCTTCTGACGTTGTTACTTGAAAGTTGATAAGTATTTATTATTTACCATTTATTTATATTCAGTCAATGTTTGTATGTATGGAGTTCAATGATGCATACTTCACTAAACCTGTTTTCACTTCTTCAGTCAGGGCAATTTTAAAATACGCGTTATGGAGCCCTTGATATCAAACTCATTCTGAAAGACTAGAATCTGTTCAGATACAATTTTTATTATTTACTGCGCTTTCGAAAAGGTAACACTGTCTACGGACGATAAGATATAGTGTCCATGGACGTTATCTCCGCTGACCTTATTAAAAGGCACCGTAAAGGTTGCATCATTTTTAACATTTCTGACATTAACTCACTTTTCGATTGTTACCTATAGAAAAGCAGGAAATATGGTGACCTTTTTTCGTCAACGACCCTTTTTCCGACTTTCCGAAAATTATTAACGGTAACACTGATTAGCGATAGACAATGTTGGAGAACGGAGAACAACCTTTGAAGTGACGCCAAACAAGCCAAAAATTGCATTTGACTGGGTCACATTCACCTCGTTCGTCCGGATTGTTGTTGTAACAGCATATAATTATTTTTTCGTCGGTGTTGTTGTAGCGGCTCCTCAACCCTGCCCAGATCGGCTAGTCCCTCAATCGTGGTCGCCAACCTCAACTAACGGGAGCGCCAGGAAGCGTGCAACTTTAATTGGGTTTGTCCTTAGGAACAGAGGGGTTAACTCGTTGGGCACATCTGCAATGCTGGCTGTCTGTGAATACCGTTTATGGCCTATCGTTATGCTGTCAGGTCCAAAGGTTGCCTTATGAACCTCTGGACTTCGTCCGTTGGTGCGTATAGATGCCTTCTGACGTGTCTTGACGAAGGCTCTGCCGCAAGCAGGTGTCCGTTCAGATGCCCACGTCGGTGACATCCCACTAAGAATTTCTTGCAGAGCATTGCGTTATTCTCTCTACGGGGAGCATTTGAGCTTCGTCGTGTAGATGGTGTTGTGGCGACATCAGAAGGCATTCGGTGCCTGTCTGGAGTGCCGTGTTTTGGCAAGTCTGTAGCTTCCTCCTACTATTCTCCGACGACCACACAGGCGTTGCATAGTTTAGTACTGGCCGGCCAATTGCCTTGTATGTTGCCAGCGCTGCCATCAAGCGACTTGAGGACCTTGTTGCGCCTCTATACTCTGTTGACAATTCCGGTTGTATGTGCCGAGAAGCAGAGCAGACTATCGATCTCCGAGAGTTTTCGAGTTATTCACCGTCGGAATTTGTACGCCACCCACACTGTAGTCTGATCTCCTTCGCCCAAGTGATAAAAAGGATTGCCGAGGATTTTGAAGGGGAGAGTGTTAAGATCCTTGCATTGAAGGAGCGGGAAAGTTCGGAGAGGTAACCGTTTACTTTTAAGCTCAAGTCTCCATTCCATTCCCAAACGCCATTATCGAGCCGATGTGTCAGCATCACTCCGTTCCGTTACTTCCAGATGCTCACGATATTCACGATTTGCAGGTTCAAATAAACGCGTTAATTCAACAAACAATTTATTTTTCTTGTCCGCGCACTTGCTCACCATGACGATCAGAAGGCAAGTGCGCTTGTTTTTTGTTAAGCAAAACGCGGGACGGTTGATAAAGATATTTGATCGTCTCCATGGCGCTTAACATTAAAAAAAAAA